TAACCGTTTATCTTGTAAGTGCAAATTTTCCATTGTTTACTAATAAATTGTCTATACTGCACTTAGAGGCGCCTTCCTCTATTTTTCTTGTTACTGCATTAGAGCCTTGCTTCCACTCTAAGAAGAGCTGCCTCAGTGTTACTGTCCTATCCATCCATCCATCCCTGATATCCATCTGGCACCTTTATCTTACAGCTACAGAGGTTGTTGGGCTCCAACAAGCGCGCCCTATACAATATACATTTTCTTTCAGAGAGCCTGCCGGCTGAACACGATAAATCTAATAGACGATATGAATGCGGTTGTACAGCCAAGACATTTTTACCTTAGAGTGGAAGTAAAGGCAAAACCGAACTCTAAATCTAGCCTCAGTCACATTCTAGGCCTAATCTATCTAAGGCCCCTTTCACACAGGTGTTCCGTATTTCATGTATTTCTATGGACTAGCGAATGTAAATGGATGATCTGTTTACATCCATTAACCATTTGCCCTCCAGAGGATTTACCCCCATTCCTGACCCGACCATTTCTCACGATACGTCGCTGCGTTACTTTAACTGGCAATTGTGCGGTCATGCAACACTGCACCCAAATGAAATTTATGTCCTTTTTTCCCCCCACAAATGGAGTTTTCTTTCAGTGGTATTTGATCGCCCGTGCGTTTTTTATTTTTTGACTATAAACAAAAATGCACTGGCAATTTTGAGAAAAAAAAATATATATTTTTGACTTTTTGCTATTAAACCTGTAAAAAATTTTTTTAAAAAAGCAAGCCAATTTCATAATAAATTTAGGACAAACTTTTTTCTGCTACATGTCTTTACTAAAAAAAAAAAATCCCAATATGTGTAAATTAATTGGTTTACGTGAAAGTTATAATGTCTACAAATGGCGGTATATATACTGGAATTTTTGTTTTTTTTACGACTAGTAATGGCAGCGATCTGCGACTTGTAGTGGGACTGCGGCAGGCATTCTGACACTGGGGGGGAACTGTCACTGACATCCCCAGTGACACGAGTACAGTGATCAGTGCTAATAAAAAGCAATGACACTGTACTGACACTGGGCAGGAAGGGGTTATCTGGGGCAATCAAAGGGTTTACTGTGTGCGCTTTACTGTGTCAGCTATGCAGAGCAATACAAAGCAGTGTGCAGGAGCTGACAGAGGAGAGATCTGTATTGTCTTACATACAGGTCTCTCCCCCATCAGTGATACTTGGTGATCGCCGGGGAATCACTGGCCAGGGACCCGGTGATCGACATCTGAGGCCACCAATGGCGGAGCAGGTAAGGCGCATGCGCCCCCTACCCAGAAATGCAAAGTCACGTATATATACACATGATTTTGCGCAGCCCTGACGCCCTGTAGCAGTATTTCTGCTACAGGGTGCGGGAAAGCAGTTAACATGGTTTTTTTTGTTTTCAATGAAGAAAACCCTATTTTTAGGATTATTAAAAAAACAGAACGGACTAACAACTGATGGAAATGGATGGAAAACTAATGTAAACTGATTAAAAACTGATGTGAACTGATGAAAAAGGCCTGTGTGAAAGGGGCCTAACCCTGTAAAGAGAAGGAGAAAAAAAAAAATTGCTATACTTATCTATTCTGCCAGGCCTAGATAGATGAGGCTTACAATGTGGCTGAGAGTAGGTTTAGAGTTAGTTAGGGTTTGCCTTTCATTCCACTTTAATACATCCCCTGCATCATGGTAAAACATGTCTCAGTAGCAGGACTGCCTCCTAAATACCTGAATCCTCACTTGATCCAGCGCTGTGCCCGTCCTGCAGCGGCTCTCTCCTGCATTCACAAGACAGAGAGGCAGCAGTGGAAGCCATTGGCTCCTGCACCAATCAAATCCTTTGAACGGAGCCCCTGGTCGCATACACTGTACACACTGGCCTTTTTTTTTTCTGTATGTTTACTTTTAATTCTATATGCTCCCTTTTTTGTATTTTGTAAACTTAAATAGCCGGGCCGGACTGAGCTGGGCTGTGTGTCTACAGATATATGCATACGATGCAGTTTTTGATGCACTGAAAAGTGACCGGCCTTACTTTTTAGTGTGTGTGTGTGTGTGTTAAATGTCCTTAGTCTAGCAGAAGATCCAGCACAGACTATTGGCAGGTTATCAGGAAATGGGGGATGATCAGGAAAAGCAAGTATCAGTAGAAGTAGGTTGGCATGCTTACTTTAGAACACGAACCGTGACAGCTTGCAATGTCTGAGGATAGTTTGCCAGATTCTCTGTAATGCGATTACATTCAATATAGTTGCTGGTTGAAGTTCAGCCACACCCTTATGTCACAATCGCAGGTTGGCTGGCAGTTGCGCTACCCTTAAAGTGGTTGTAAAGGCTCAAAGTTTTTTATCGTCATGCATTCTATGAATAAAGGTAAAAAACCTTCTGTGTTCAGCAGCCCCCTTCCCCCCCATCCAGATACATACCTGAACCCCATCCTGACCCAGAAATGTGCACGAAAGCAGTGGCTTGGGACTCTCCCTCCTCCCTGGCTGAGACAGCAGCGGGAGCCATTGCCAGTGAATGGACACACAGAGCAGCGGCTCAGGAGTGAGCCCGCTTGGGTGCCCCCATAGCAAGCAGCTGGGCTTTAGGGGCACAGGAGGGGCCAGGAGTGCCAGCGGGTGACCCAAGTAGAGGATCAGGGCTGTTCTGTTCCACTGCACAGAGCAGGTTAAGTATGACATGTTTATTGTTACTATTTTTTTTAAATTGCCTTTAATATCACTTTTATTACAGGCCAGCTTTGGGCAAGTATCTGAATTTTAAACTAAAGTACCCTTTTGTAGTAAAGTCCAAAGTGTACTGTCACTTTTGCAGTCATATTTGCGAAAACCCCAGAACATGTTTGGTATGGGTTCCCCTTCACACAGCATACCTAAAATATTTTTTTCAAATCTCCCAACTTAAAGGTTTCTTAGGAAAAGTGATCACAGATGACTATAAACACACGCTCAGAGTGATCTCTCCCAATAGAAAGGCTTAGGGACATGGTGAGATCCCTCTCACTATCATACATTGGAGAAGCCCGGCTTGTACATATTTAACCCTTAGAACAACAGTGTTCAAATCTAGTTTAGATTAGTGAGATGAAATCTGCCAGCTTAGGACACAGGGTTAAAAGAAGTATGGTCAAAGATTTTTTGGGCGATACTTATCTTGTGGGTCACAGGACTACACTTACTTTTACTTTTCTGTGACCCTCCAGTCACCTGAGAGCTGGCTAATGCTCCTGCCCCCTCTCCAGCCCAGCGCTCCAGTGAGTGCTGGAGGAGTTGAGCTGGGAGCGGTGACTGACAGTCACTGCTCTCCTTTTCCAGCAGAGCAAGAACTCGGGAGTGCTCAGCGGTCACGATTGCTCAGTTCTCAGTGTTACAGCCAACATGAGACAACTGCAGCATCCCAATATATAAAAATACTATATATAGAGGTGAGCATGTGTGTTTTTTTTTTTTTCAAATCTTACACTTCTCCTTTAATTATGGCTGACCCCCCAAACAAAAAGAATATTTTAGAGATTCCAGAAAAAAAAAAAAAAAAGAGAGCATGGTATGTGGTCAGTAACATGTAACAAAAAAAAAAAAAAAAAAAAAAAAAAAAAAAAAAAAGTGGTACTCCAGTTTGGCTGCAAAAACAGAAATACACATTAATAGAACATGCTCAATACGCAATGATACTGCATGTGACCAGCTATGATGCCAGCCACGTGAGATGGGCTTAGGTTCACTTTAACACAATAAGACTCCCTAACTGAGCTATGTGAACATCATTTTGAAATCTCAATGGACTCCTTTAAATAAATAAAAAAGAAAGTTTGTAATATTTTGGTGTATTTGCTTTGTTAATTAAGCTCAATATTTTATTTAACATTTGTCTGAACAGTCACACATTCTATACTGTAATTGCCACGTTTTAGTGCAGTCCTAAATATTAGTGGTTGCTTAGATTGCTCTTAAAGTGCACGTTCACATAAAAAATGAAAATGTGGACTAACACCATACACCCTCTTCACCCTCATCCACTCTCCAGTCCCCTCTGCATTTACCTCCATGAATGAGTAGCTGTCACTGCCCACGCACCTGGGATGGGGATCTGAAAGCCCTGCTCTTCTTCCCTGTCTTTTTATAGGGCTTCCAGGATGGATCAGAGTGATTCCGATTGGCTAAAATGGTCATGTGCCAGCACATGACCAATCAGAATAGCTCTGATTCTTCCTAGAAGCCCTACAGAAAAAGGGAAAGAAGAGCAAGGCCTTCAAATCCCCAGACTGCTGCCCAGGTTGCATGGGCAGTAACAGCTCCCATTGAGACAAGTGCATAATCCTGTTCCCTCTGAGGATGGCTGTGGTGAAGAAACGCATAGAACAGATCCTAGTGGTGATGTCATCACGTTTGCTTGATGAGCTGTTTGCACAAGTTCATCTCTATTGATATGCGGTTTTCATTGTCTTGTATGTGGTTGCTTTTCTGTTTTAATAAACTGGTTTCCAATGTATACTACACTATGGATTACCACATATTCCCCCATATGGATTAACCCTGCCTTAACTTGTATGGAATCTAGATGAGCTGTGATGTTGATTGCATTACCCCAGTTAACCTTGGTGCAACTGAGCCTTTTAAGAGCTGGAGGCGGAGCGGAGAAGCCGTGATACTGAAGACATAAACAGATTTAATGAGATACCTATTAGATGGACACTTTTTGTGTTTTAGGTCTACCCGATTGAAGCACTATATGTTTATTTCCTTTATTGCAATTTTTTTCTATTCATCACTTTCAATTTGGGCTTGTGTGCACTTCAATACACACTTTTATCTGCTCGGTGGGGTTTGTGTGTATGGACACATTATTTCCTATGGTTTTAAAGGGACAGCACAACACACATATCTTTTCTAATATTTCCTGATTATTTTGTACGTCTTATACTGCTGTGGATTTCTTATTTCTTTCCTTGCAGAATTTCACTTGAGCGGCTCATTGCAAAATGTAGAAAATGACAACACATACCAAAAATAGAGCAAACGACGTCATAAATCCCTCCTTTGTTAGCTCCCAGGTCCCTCCATACTCTTCTTCATCTACACGTTGGAAGCTGCTAAAATATAGGTACAGTATTCCAGCGTTTAAGAGGCAGAAACTGCAAAAAGAGAGGGAAAATGGATTAAACTGTACACTTAATTCACAAATGTCTTTTGTATTGAAGAGGACCTTTCCCAGTGATGCATAAAAATATCCTTAAAGTGGGATTAAACACAAAAGCAAACATATTATATTGCAGCCTACCAATTCTTAGATGTGATGGCTGCATTGGTTTTCTTTTTTAGGCTTTCTTTTTTTCTATTTTTATCTGGTGATCTGGCCAGGAAGTCAGTTGTTTTTCAAAACAACAAGCTGTCAGTTACAGGAATGAGACAAACCCTTCAACACTAGTAGGGGTGCTTACAATGATCAGCTTTTATTTATGTAAACCATTTATTCTAAAAAAAAAAGAAAACACAAAACAAATAAAATGTGAGCTGCAACTGCTAATAAAGTGTTAGCTGGAGTTTGGCTTCAATTTTCTTTATACTGCATATCAAGCTTATTGTACATCCTGGTTCAATGTGGCCCCTTATTGCCTCTCAAGTCTCACTGAATATAGGGCACTTATAGAAGCACCAGGTATGTCACTTTTTTTTACATGCTTATTAAGGGAATCAGTCATTTTAGCTGCACTTATATATATCTTAAGAAAGAATTTACTGCCAGGTCCGTTATTCTTGGGTAGTGGACCACCTCCACCACGGCACATATTACTGACTGGGTAACAAGAGCTTTGTCACACAATTAGAATGGAACAGTTATAAGTCCAATATTGTGTTACATATGACTTTTGATAGATTTTCTGGATGGTATTTATAAGCTCCCAAGAACTCAAGACCCTGACATACAGTGGGGATCGAAAGTTTGGGCACCCCAGCTAAAAATTTGTATTAATGTGCATAAAAAAAGCCAAGGAAAGATGGAAAGATCTCCAAAAGGCATCAAATTACAGATTAGACATTCTTATAATATGTCAACAAAAGTTAGATTTTATTTCCATCATTTACACTTTCAAAATAACAGAAAACAAAAAAATGGCGTCTGCAAAAGTTTGGGCACCCTGCAGAGTTAATATCTTGTACTGCCCCCTTTGGCAAGTATCACAGCTTGTAAACGCTTTTTGTAGCCAGCCAAGAGTCTTTCAATTCTTGTTTGAGGTATCTTTGCCCATTCTTCCTTACAAAAGTCTTCCAGTTCTTTGAGATTTCTGGGCTGTCTGTCACGCACTGCTCTTTTAAGGTCTATCCATAGATTTTCAATTATGTTGAGGTCAGGAGATTGTGAAGGCCATGGCAAAACCTTCAGTTTAAGCCTCTTGATGTAATCCCCCGTGGATTTTGTGGTGTGTTTAGGATCATTATCCATTTGTAGAAGCCATCCTCTCTTTAACTTCAGCTTTTTCACAGATGGCATCAAGTTACCATCCAAAATTTGCTGAAATTTTATTGAATCAATTTTTCCTTCTACTCGTGAGATGTTCTCTGTGCCACTGGCTGCAACACAACCCCAAAGCATGATTGATCCAACCCCATGCTTAACAGTTGGACAGAGGTTCTTTTCATTAAATTCTGTGCCCCTTCTTCTCCAAACGTACCTTTGCTCATTCCGGCCAAAAAGTTCAATTTTAACCTCATCGGTCCACAGAACTTGTTTCCAAAATGCATCAGGCTTGTCTATATGTTCATTTGCAAAGTTCAAACGATGATTTTTGTGGTGAGGACGTAGAAGAGGTTTTCTTCTGATGACTCTTCCATGAAGACCATATTTGTACAAGTATCTCTTTATAGTGGAATAGTGTACCACAACTCCAGTGTCTGCCAGATCTTTCTGGAGGGATCGTGCAGTCAAACGTGGGTTTTGAACTGTTTTTCTCACAATCCTGCGAGCTGTTCTGTCTGATATTTTTCTTGGGCTTCCAGATCTTGCCTTAACTTCCACTGTTCCTGATGACTGCCATTTCTTAATTACATTCCAAACAGAGGATATTGACATCTGAAAACACTTTGCTATCTTCTTATAGCCTTCTCCAGCTTTGTGAGCGTCAACTATTTTCAGTTTCAGTTTTCTAGACAACCGCTTAGAAGAACCCATGGTGCTGATTGTTGGGGCAAGGTCAGATGAGTCTGGGCATTTAAAACCTTTGAGATTGACATCACCTGGTCTTCCCAGACGATGATTGAGAACAATCCATGACACTGGCAGGTCTCAGCTTTGCAAAGGGGGCAGTGCATGCTATAAATTCTGCAGGGTGCCCAAACTTTTGCAGACGCCATTTTTTTGTTTTCTGTTATTTTGAAAGTGTAAATGATGGAAATAAAATCTAACTTTTGTTGACATATTATAAGAATGTCTAATCTGCAATTTGATGCCTTTTGGAGATTTTTCCATCTTTCCTTGGCTTCTTTATGCACATTAATACAAATTTTTAGCTGGGGTGCCCAAACTTTTGATCCCCACTGTACATACCATATTTTCCCCTATCTACCAATCAATTGTTTTGGGACTAACAAAATTAAAGACGAATTCCAGGTATGCCATTTTTTTTTTTACATACATTAGTCCAGCTTGAACCAACGTAACTATCCATATACCATACCTGTGGGATCCCTCTAGGTGCTACTACAGTGATCTCCGCTAGCTTTCTGGTCTGGTGCTGAGCAGCGACCCTGCTGCATTGCATGCTGGCTACTCAGTATGGGCGCCATTCAGAGAATAAATTTGAATTTTCTCAATGAATGCAAAAGCATTCCCTGATTGGACGAGATGGAGAGCACTGCCCTGCCATCGTCCAATCAGACGAGGATGCCTTGCATTCATAAAGAAAATGCAAATCATTCTTTGAATGGCACCTGTGGCAAGCGGCTTACCCCTTGGGTTCAGAATGCAGCAGGACAGCTGCTCAGACTGGGATGTTGAAGCAAGTGGAGATCACTGGAGTAATGTTGTCTACTGCAGGCATTTCAAGGTTCCACAGAAGAGCTAACTAGAGCTGTCATATCCATGGCTGATATGAAAGAGATATTGTCCTGCTAAGGTCTGAGGACATGTTGTACTCAGCAGGATAAAGAACTGAACAGAGAACGATCTTAAAGCTAAATTCCGCTACACTCCTCTCCCTTTAACAGTCTAACGTCTCTCGCCGGCATCTTCTGCCCAACTCCTTCCGGGTGCCAGGCTATGGCCATTCCTATTGGCCAACACGGGTGATGTCACTCCTGTGCATGTGTAGGAATGCAGTCATCCCAGCACACAAGACATCGAGCCGGAATGTAAAATGTGCTGCGCTTGCACATGTCAATGTACATCCCAAAGAAAACTGTGAACAGGCAGGTTTCATTTATTGCATCTTCTACAAGAATCTGTCTGCTCACAGTTTTGAAAAGCGGGACTTCAAAGTAGCCTGATACTCCACCCATACTACCATCAATCAGGGGAATTCAAGAAAATATTAATGACGTTTCTTGTCATGTGGCCTTTTTAAATGGTCTGCCCCACATTCAAAAATCCCTACTGGCGTTTGCGCAGCTTTCCCTAAACTCGAGGAAAATTCAAGTAGTTCTTCAGAACGCCACATTTACAAAGCTATGGCTGCACTAAATTCAAATAGAATTACCTTCATTTTGCAGCTAAGGAAACTGGAGATAATTAAGACCAACTAGGCGTTCAAAGACAGGCAGAGTGCCTGTCTCTGTACACTGCTGTGTAACAGAATGGCATGTTTGCCACCATTCCCCCCTCCCCACCTGCTACTAGCTGTCACTGTTCGCTCACTGCAACCAGTGACAAAGTGAGGGGAGACTGATGGGGGGGAAAACAAGCAAAAAAGTTCCTGATCGGGTAATCTGTACTTGCGATTGACTGCAAGCAGTGGTTAACGGGAATTAAGGGAACATCTCCCCAGTCGGTACACAGTGCCAAATCAAACCTGACAAAGACCCTTACCCTTCAGTACATATATTCACCCTGTTTGTCTTGGGACCCCCCATGACTGCCCCCTGCCCTCTCCCAGTCATCCACTCTGATGAACACTGGAGGAGTAGGGTGGAATTCACTCAGAGCCAGGGTAGGACAGCTGCAGTGTTAGCCTAATGCAACAGCATGGAGGGGAGTATGTATGTTTGTTATTATCCCCATAATTCTTCTTTAACCACTTCCCATCCGCCCTATAGCAGAAGTACTGCTACAAGGTGGCACGGGTGCGCAACATCACGTATATATACACGTGATTTTGCATTTCTGGGTAGGGGGCATGGCTGTCAATCACCGGGGTCCCGACCAGTGATTACTCACAGGCGCCCGGGGATTGCTGAGCATCTAAAATGGGGGAAGGGGGAGAGAACTGTTTGTAAACAAAACAGTTCTCCTCCCTGTCAGCTTGTGCACACTGCTTTGCATGGCTGTGCATAGTACAGCCATGCAAGGGGCTATGGACAGTGTGCTTACAGTGAAGCAAAACAGAACACAGTTAACTCTTGATCGCCCCACGTTAACCCCTTCCTGAGTGCCATTAGTACAGTGTCAGTGCTTTTTTATTAGCACTGACCACTGTATTGGTGTCACTGGGGATGTCAGTGACACCAAGTCAGTTCCCCCCAGTGTCACAATGCCCACCGCAGTCCCACAATAAGTCACTGAATTAATAGTGAAAGGAAAAGAAAAAAAAATCCCAGTATATATACCAAATTTGTAAACGCTATAACTTTCACTTAAACCAATTTACGTTTACATTTTGGCCAAAATTTATGACGAAATTTGATTACATTTTTTACTGGACATGTTTAATAGCAAAAAGTCAAAAATATTGTTTTTTTTTCTCAAAATTATCAGTCATTTTTTTAATTTTAATATCACAAAAAAAAACCAAAAAAAAAAACCACACAGGTAATCAAATACCACCAAAAAAAGGAAAGCTCAATTCAAGGGTAAAAGGGACGGAAATTTCATTTGGGTGCAGAAATGCATGACCGCGCAATTGTCAGTTAAAGTAAAGCAGTGTTGTAACGCAAAAATGGCCTGGTCAGGAAGGGGGGGTAAATTCCCTGAAGGGCAAGGGGTTAACAGGTGTTTTTAACCACTTGCCTACCGGCACTTATACCCCCTTCCTGCCCAGGCAATTTTCAGCTTTCAGCGCTGTCGCACTTTGAATGACAATTGCACGGTCATGCAAAATTGTACCCATATTAAATTTTTATCATTTTTTTTCTCATAAATAAAGCTTTCTTTTGGTGGTATTTACTCATCGCTGGGTGTTTTACTTTTTGTGCTATAAACAAAAAAGTGCAAAAAATTTGAAATAAAAAAAAAAGTTTCTTTGTTTCTATTATAAAATTTTGCAAACAGGTAATTTTTCTCCTTCACTGATGTGCATTGATGAGGCAGCAGTGATGGGCACTGAGACGTGGCACTGATAGGCAGCACTAATGAGGTGGCATGGATAGGCGGCACTGATGATGGGTACTGATAGTCAGCACTGACTGGCGTCACTGCTGGGCATTGACTGGTGCAACTGCTGGGCACTGACTGGTGGCACTGATAAGCACTGGTGGATGGCACTGCTGGGCACTGATCATCAGTGCCCTGATGATTGGTGCCGATCCCTCCTCTGACAACTGCCGGTTCTCTGCAGTACTTTCCTCGCGCTCTGACAACGAGAGGAAAGTGCAGCCGAGAACCGGCAATTGCATTTCCTTGTGATCAATGTGTCATTGGACACGGCTGATCACGTGCTAAAAGGCCGCTGTGATTGGTCTTTTACCACATCACGTGATCAGCTGTGATCAGGGAGATTGCTGGGGGCGTGCAGGAGAGCGCGTTCTGGGAGGACGTCACGACGCCCTCCCAGAACTAGCCGGTTGCAGTGTAGCCGTCAGTCGGCTATCTGCGGTTGGAAACTGGTTTGTAAGCATTCCTGACTGTAACCAAAACTACAAAAAAAAAACAAAAAACTTGTGGGCTACAATACTTAGTGTTTTCTTTGCTCCCATCAGATGAATGGAGTGGCAGAAGAGTGAAGGAAAGCCAAGTATATACTGCTGGGCTTTCAAGTGCACCTGTCACTTTGCTGTACCTATGCAAACAATTGCTCACTCAGCCAGTCTGTAGACTGACATACACTCATCTGATTGTCAGCCTGCAGTCTGAAAAATACTTACATAGCTATTCCCACAAATCCCTTCAGAGGAACAATCCCCCATATCACTCCCAATACAATGGCCAGGATCTGCCGCATCCAGTAGATGACATCGAGGAATTCATCCTGTAAGGGAGAGGAAGGGAAGGAAGTTCATGTATTGCATGAAAGGTTTGTCTGTGTGATCAGTTGTGTAAGACGCAGTTGTCATTGCTTGGTGTAATTCTGGAACAACAGCTGCAGGTTGGACATGCCGAGTCAGCACCTCTGAAAGTAATCCCCACTGTGTACATCTAATCCTATTTATGGGATGCACAAGAACGATGAACTCAGATCTTACTGGGGAAATGTTCAATTACTTCTCAATTAGAAAGTGTCCTTTTCCTCCACATTATTTACTAATAGGATGTTTTTGTAAAGCAGTAAATGCGACATTCACCAAACCTTCATGGCAGATACATCTTACTGGTGGAAATGTTTTAAAATGTTTCTAAAGATTTTTTGCCTTAATGCCTTACATTGACAGCCCCCCCTAATACTCACCTAAGCCCCCTCTCGATCCAGCGATGTGCACTGGAGTCTCGGCTATCCCGTGACTCCCTCTTCCCATTGGCTGAGACAGCTGGCTCCCACTGCTGGCAATCACAGCCAGTGAGCCAATGAGAAGGGGGGGGGGGGGGGGGGTGCTGAGCCGTGGCTTCATGTGTAAATGGACACCCGGAGCAGTGGGTGCTCCCATAGCAAGCTGCTTTCTGTGGGGGCACCCAACAGGAGGGAGAGGCCAGGAGAGCCTACGTGGGACCTGAGAAGAGGAGGATCCAGGCTTCTCTGTTCATATCCACTGCACACAGCAAGTAAGTAGAGCAAATTTGTTATTTTTTTTATTTAAAAAAAAAAAAAAAAACACAGAAGCCTTTAGAATCCTTTTAAGTGATCTTTACACTTGCAGTTGGGGGGGGGGGGGGGGGGGGGGGGAAAGGAACGTGGTTGAGCACGGAAGCCAGTAACTGCTTGTGTACATCTGAGCAAAGCCAGAAGTGACAAAATCTTTGTCGCTTCTGGTTTCCTAGACCATAGAGATGATTAGGGAACTTCCAGTCCTTGGTCATCTCTGTGGTAAAGCTGGCCAAATTGCTGGCTCCCTGGTGGGACAGGAGAATCCAGAAAATAACCCCTTTCCACAGCATGTAAAAGTGAGACAGCAGCTACTTAGCCGCTAGGATAGCTTTTACATAAACCACTTCAAGTCTGGACACTTTTACCCCCTTCCAGCCCAGGCCAATTTTCAGCTTTCAGCGCTGTCACACTTTGAATGATAATTGCGCGGTCATGCAACACTGTATCCATATGAATTTTTTAGCATTTTTTGAGACCGATAAAACTTTATTTTGGTGGTATTTACTCACCACTGGGATTTTTCTGCTTTATAAATAAATGAAAATATCCAAAATGTTTGAAAAAAAGTTTTTCTTATAAACATTTTGCACATAAATAATCTTTCTTCATACATCTTGGCCAAAATGTATTCAATTATCTTTTTAGTAAAAAAAAATAATAACCCAAATTAGTTTATATTCAAAAATTATAATTTTTCAAAATGTTTATTATATTATTATTTATGTTTGTTTTTTTAACATACTGCCACCCAAACAGTACAGTGTCACCATAGTGACAATTGCACGGTCATGCAAGATTGTACCCATATAAAATTTTTATCATTTTGTTCTCATAAATAGAGCTTTCTTTTGGTGGTATTTAGTCATCGCTGGGCGTTTTACTTTTTGTGCTATAAACAAAAAAAGTGCAAAAAATTTGAATTAAAAGAAAAAAGTTTCTTTGTTTCTATTATAACATTTTGCAAACAGGTAATTTTTCTCCTTCACTGATGTGCGTTGATGAGGCAGCAGTGATGGGCACTGATAGGCAGGACTGAAGTGGCATGGATAGGCGGCACTGATGGGTACTGATAGTCAGCACTGACTGGCGTCACCGCTGGGCACTGACTGGCGCCACTGCTGGGTACTGACTGGTGGCACTGGTGGGCGGCACATGTGTGTGGCACTGATAAGCACTGGTGGGTGGCACTGATAAGCACTGGTGGTGGCACTGCTGGGCACCAATCATCAGTGCCAATCCCTGCTCTGACAACTGCCAGTTCTCTGCAGTGCTTTCCTCATGCTTTGACAGCGAGAGGAAAGTGCAATTGCATTTCCCTGTGATCAATGTGTCATTGGACATGGCTGATCACGTGGTAAAAGGCCACTGTGATTGGCCTTTTACCACATCACATGATCAGCTGTGTCCATAGAACACAACGATCACAGAGATTGCCAGGGGCGTGCAGGAGAGCGCATTCTGGGAGGATGTCATATGACACCCTCCCAGAACTGGCCGGCCGCAGTGTAGCCGTCATTCCCCTATCTGCGGTCGGTAACTGGTTAATAGCAACAAGTCAAAAATATTGTTTTTTTTTTCCCTAAACTTGTTGTCTTTTTTTGTTTATAACACATAGCATTTGAGTGTAGTATTGCATGACCGCGCAATTGTCAGTTAAAGTAACACAGCGCCGTATCGACAAAAAATGACCTGGTCAGGAAGGGATGTAAATCTTCTGGAGGGCAAGTGGTTAAATACGGTTTTGGTAAAAAAACAATTTTTCTATCTGGACAAGTAGATTGGGACACTGATTTAGTCCCTGGACAAGTAGTTTTTTTTTTCAAAAATGTCCACACCCCTGATCTATGCACCCACCAACCATAATCTTTTGATACTAAAGGAGCTGTCTGCCATTGGCTGTCATCATGACAGCCGGACAATGCCCGCCCTTTCCTCCTAACGGCTCTATTTATAGACGCTTCTGTGAATGAAACAAGAAGATTCACAAACAAGCTTTATTTACTGTCATTCAAATGTGTCCGAAATGCATCGATACCGTGTGTTCGAGAACTAAAATTTTTATTAAAAATGTTTATATATATTATAATAAATAATAATAAATGACCATTTTTTTGCAGGTAATAGATATGTGCCGTTATTTTCTTTCCTTGGGCGTCTGCGGAGGGAGCGGTGCCCCCGATCCCACCGCTCTCCTCCCAGGGGGTGTAATATACTGAGCCAATGCTGCAGAGAATGGCTCCTATGGATCAGTACATGACATCACCCCACTGGCAGTGATCATTCAGGGGCACACCGCCTGCTACGGATGTGACAGCCCCAGGCAGGCAGTGAGCGGGCCGGTCATATTCTCCTGGCCATGTGTCTGGCACAGTACCTTGTCCTCCCATGAGGAGTCTCCTCGCAGAGCTTTGCTCCAGGGGGACACCTTCACCTTCACTCCTCCATTGGACACGGCCGGCTCCTCTTTCCGTTTGGCGTGGCTCATTCTCCGGGCACTGGCGAGAGCAGCCCCGTGCTGGAAGATCCTAGGATCACAGGTCTCCTAGGATGACGAGCCCGTCCTCGGCCCGGCCCCGGAAGTGACATTCATGCCCGGATATGGCTTTCCAGGAAACACGCTGTGGAAAATGTCTACGCCAGGGGCGCCATTTTTGTGAAGACCAAAAAGAAGTCTATGGAGGGGGCGGGTGCAGAAAGGTGACTGTGGATGAGTAATGGTGGGGGCTGTCATGGTAGTAGAGATATAAATGTATCTGCAAATGTATCTTGCATTTTTATGTGATACTGAAAATATAAAAAAAAATTAAAGCAGAATGTAAGTGTTACTAATCCCAGGACCCTGCATTCAACTATATATCCGGTCTCCCCGAATCCTGCATTCACTATATCCGGTCTCCCGGACCCTCCATTCACTATATCCGGTCTCCCCGGATCCTGCATTCACTATATCCGGTCTCCCCGGACCCTGCATTCACTATATCCGCTCTCCCAGGACCCTGCATTCACTATATCCGGTCTCCCCGACCCTGCATTCACTATATCCGATCTCCCAGGACCCTGCAGTCACTATATCCGCTCTCCCCGGCCCTGCATTCACTATATCTGGTCTCCCCGGACCCTGCATTCACTATATCTGGTCTCCCCGGACCCTCCATTCACTATATCTGGTCTCCCCTGGACCCCGCATTCACTATATCTGGTCTCCCCTGGACCCCGCATTCACTATATCTGGTCTCCCCTGGACCCCGCATTCACTATATCCGGTGTTCCCGATCCCCGCATTCACTATATCCGGTGTTCCCTGACCCCGCATTCACTATATCCGGTGTTCCCGGACCCCGCATTCACTATATCCGGTCTCCCCGGACCCCGCATTCACTATATCCGGTCTTTCCGGACCCCCGCATTCACTATATCTGGTCTCCCCGGACCCTCCATTCACTATATCTGGTCTCCCCTGGACCCTCCATTCACTATATCTGGTTTCTCCCCGGACCCCGCATTCACTATATCTGGTGTTCCCGGACCCCGCATTCACTATATCTGGTGTTCCCGGACCCCGCATTCACTATATCTGGTGTTCCCGGACCCCGCATTCACTATATCTGGTCTCCCCGGACCCCGCATTCACTATATCTGGTCTCCCCGGACCCCGCATTCACTATATCTGGTCTCCCCGGACCCCGCATTCACTATATCTGGTCTCCCCCTGGACCCCGCATTCACTATATCTGGTCTCCCCGGACCCGCATTCACTATATCCGGTGTTCCCGATCCCCGCATTCACTATATCCGGTGTTCCCGGACCCCGCATTCACTATATCCGGTGTTCCTGGACCCTGCATTCTACTACCACATCGTCTCCCGGACCCCGCATTCACTATATCCGGTCTCCCCGGACCCAGCATTCACTATATCCGGGACCCCCTGGACCCTGCATTCACTATATCTGGTCTCCCCGGACCCTCCATTCACTATATCTGGTCTCCCCTGGACCCTCCATTTCACTATATCTGGTCTCCCCTGGACCCCGCATTCACTATATCTGGTCTCCCGGACCCCGCATTCACTATATCTGGTGTTCCCGGACCCCGCATTCACTATATCTGGTGTTCCCGGACCCCGCATTCACTATATCTGGTGTTCCCGGACCCCGCATTCACTATATCTGGTGTTCCCGGACCCCGCATTCACTATATCTGGTCTCCCCGGACCCCGCATTCACTATATCTGGTCTCCCTGGACCCCGCATTCACTATATCTGGTCTCCCTGGACCCCGCATTTCACTATAATCTGGTCTCCCCGGACCCCGCATTCACTATATCTGGTCTCCCCGGACCCCGCATTCACTATATCTGGTCTCCCCGGCCCTGCATTCACTATATCTGGTCTCCCCGGACCCTGCATTCACTCTATCTGGTCTCCCCGGACCCTGCATTCACTATATCTAGTCTCCCCCGACCCTGCATTCACTATATTTGGTTTCCCAGGACCCTGCATTCACTATATCCGGTCTCCCCGGACCCTGCATTCACTATATCCGCTCTCCCAGGACCCTGCATTCACTATATCCGGTCTCCCCGGACCCTGCATTCACTATATCCGATCTCCCAGGACCCTGCAGTCACTATATCCGCTCTCCCCGGGCCCTGCATTCACTATATCTGGTCTCCCCGGACCCTGCATTCACTATATCTGGTCTCCCCGGACCCTCCATTCACTATATCTGGTCTCCCCTGGACCCCGCATTCACTATATCTGGTCTCCCCTGGACCCCGCATTCACTATATCTGGTCTCCCCGGACCCCGCATTCACTATATCCGGTGTTCCCGATCCCCGCATTCACTATATCCGGTGTTCCCGGACCCCGCATTCACTATATCCGGTGTTCCCGGACCCCGCATTCACTATATCCGGTCTCCCCGGACCCCGCATTCACTATATCCGGTCTTTCCGGACCCTGCATTCACTATATCTGGTCTCCCCGGACCCTCCATTCACTATATCTGGTCTCCCCCTGGACCCTCCATTCACTATATCTGGTTTCTCCCCGGACCCCGCATTCACTATATCTGGTGTTCCCGGACCCCGCATTCACTATATCTGGTGTTCCCGGACCCCGCATTCACTATATCTGGTGTTCCCGGACCCCGCATTCACTATATCTGGTCTCCCCGGACCCCGCATTCACTATATCTGGTCTCCCCGGACCCCGCATTCACTATATCTGGTCTCCCCGGACCCCGCATTCACTATATCTGGTCTCCCCTGGACCCCGCATTCACTATATCTGGTCTCCCCGGACCCCGCATTCACTATATCCGGTGTTCCCGATCCCCGCATTCACTATATCCGGTGTTCCCGGACCCCGCATTCACTATATCCGGTGTTCCTGGACCCTGCATTCACTATATCCGGTCTCCCCGGACCCCGCATTCACTATATACGGTCTTTCCGGACCCTGCATTCACTATATCTGGTCTCCCCGGACCCTCCATTCACTATATCTGGTCTCCCCTGGACCCTCCATTCACTATATCTGGTCTCCCCTGGACCCCGCATTCACTATATCTGGTCTCCCCGGACCCCGCATTCACTATATCTGGTGTTCCCGGACCCCGCATTCACTATATCTGGTGTTCCCGGACCCCGCATTCACTATATCTGGTGTTCCCGGACCCCGCATTCACTATATCTGGTGTTCCCGGACCCCGCATTCACTATATCTGGTCTCCCCGGACCCCGCATTCACTATATCTGGTCTCCCCGGACCCCGCATTCACTATATCTGGTCTCCCCGGACCCCGCATTCACTATATCTGGTCTCCCCGGACCCCGCATTCACTATATCTGGTCTCCCCAGGCCCTGCATTCACTATATCACCCTGCATTCACTATATCTGGTCTCCCCGGACCCTGCATTCACTCTATCTGGTCTCCCCGGACCCTGCATTCACTATATCTAGTCTCCCCGGACCCTGCATTCACTATATTTGGTCTCCCAGGACCCTGCATTCACTATATCTGGTCTCCCCCCGGACCCTGCATTCATTATATTTGGTCTCCCAGGACCCTGCATTCACTATATCTGGTCTCCCCGGACCCTGCATTCACTATATCTGGTCTCCCCGGACCCTGCATCCACTATATCTGGTCTCCCCGGACCCTGCATTCACTATATTTGGTCTCCCACAGGACACACAACATGGAAGTGCAATTATTTTAGTAAATATAAACTGCTAAATATCTTTTCTCATCAGCAGTTAGAGCAGTCTTGTGACTTCTATCAGTGTTCAGCAGAGCACTGGTTAAAGCTTGTAGGAGGAGTTTTCATTCTGCTCTAGGAGGATGCAGAACCCCTGACCTCTGCTGATCACATGCACCCTCACAAAAAAAAGAAGACTCCAGCTATACACACCAAACTCAGTATGTGCAGCTTGGGGACAGTAAAAAGAAGGGGAGGATCAGAGAAGACAGGATTAAACATCCTTTTTACACAATGCGGAGGATTAACCCCTTAGGTTCCACAGTGAGTATAACAAACATGCTTTAGTGTATGTAAAGACTGATTTTACTGTTGTGGGTTTAGTAACACTTTAAGTCAAAACTTAAAAAAAAGTATAATACGGTTATATTCCTTGTCAGTTTTTTTTGCTATCTGTCTCCCATTGGAGAGATTTTCCTTAACTTCCTATCCCATAACCAAAGCAGGAAGTGAGAGGAAAGTGAGGGAACCCCTGATTGTCATGAGAACAAGTGTCCCCATTGGGAGATTTTCCCTTTTTTCCTGTTCTGGAGGCAACCCAAAATTTGGGATTTTTACACTTTCACTTTCACTGATAATGGTAAACAGGACTAATAGAGAGGGTGACTCTCCCCAGTGAGGACACAGAAAGCAATTATAGTAGATTTATAGGCAATACTTTTTTTTTTTCATTTTGGATAGAGTAAGGGAGAGTTATAACCCTTATCAGTTTATTTTTTGCCATCTGTGTCCCATTGGGGAGAATTACCGTCACTTCCTGTCCCATAGTCAAAGCTGGAAGTGAATCAAAATCCCTGCAGAGTAAAGTATTACTAAACCCCAGACCCTACATTCACTATATCTGGTCTCCCACTGTACACACAATATGGAAATGCAATTATTTTAGTAAATATGAACTGCTAAATACTTTTTCTCATCAGCAGTTACAGTAGTCTTGTGACTTCTATCAGTGTTCAGCTGAGCACTGGTTAAAGCTTGTAGGAGGAGTTTTCTTTCTACTCTAGGGGGATGCAGAAACCCCGGACCTCTGTCTGGACAGTGCTGATTGGCCCTGTGCTGATCAAATGCACTATCCCAAGAAAAATACATTCTCTAGCTATACACCCCAAACTGAGCATGTGCAGAGTAACTCCACACGATATGTCTTGTCCGGAGATAAGAGGGGGCACTGGAAGATGGGGGAGGATCAGAGAAGACAGGATCAAACAGTGTTTTTAC